CAAATTCTGTAAACTATCTCTGGATAAATTAAAATATCTATGGCACAACTTTTCACAAAAAAAAAAATTAAGGCGAAGACCAACATTTTATATAAAAATAGCTGAGCAGGCTTCTAAAGAAGGAAATAAGCATTTCTCATGATGACTCTGTTAATACAAGATTATAAATACCCTTATATATACAGAAAAAAAAAAAATCAATACAAACGTATGGAATATTTCACTAGGCATCTATCTTTCAAATAAGCCAAGATCACATGTCCTGGACCATAGCGGAGGTACTTCAGTTTAAGATTTGTAGTAGTTTCTTTGCTACACATACTGATACAAATAATAAAAATGCAATATAAATATTGATTTTCACAGAGAAACTCAGTAATACACTCAGGTTACAAAGCTTAACGAATTGGCCCAGAAAGAAATGATACAAATTTTAACATGGTCAATTATCTTATGTTTTGGAGGCTAAGGAAAACATCCAAGGTATACAATAATATTTAAACTTTCAGATTTTTTTTTTTAAAATCCAACTGATACCTTTAGTGAAACTAAAACATAAATTACCATGGCAGAAAATTCATTATCTCTTCATAAATACAGCAGTTTGTTTACTTGTCAAGATCACTTAGAAATACCTTTATTAAAAGCATTTTAATAAATTTCCAAGCCTAAAGTTATCAGTTTTGCAAGGATTTAAACTATAAACAATATTTGTATGGATGTATTTTTTACTAAATTTCAAAACTATGCAATCAATATATAGTAAGACATAAAAATGAGAGCAAATAAAATATATTTCAGAAGAATTACATTAATATCTTAAGTGAAAATACCTTTTTAGATGCTAATATGATGATCAAGTTCAGTATATCTGTGCACATTATAAATATGCATACGTGTATTCATATACACTCAGTAATTCTAGAAATAATCATAAAAATTATATCATTTCCATTGGAGAGTACAGTTTTTTCCCCAACACAAATTAGTGGATTTGCCAATAACTTTTTGAACTGTATTTCACAAAAATTTGAAGATAAAGTAGAAGCTCTTGTCTTCCAAGGTGTAGAATTTTTTTAGTTTATTCTCATTTTCTTGAATAAAACCCCAAGATCTTCATTTCTGCCACCCAAGGGAAATGCCTCCTGGTGTCTCATTCCCCCCACAAGCCCCCGCTGAAGAGGCCTGAGCATCCCGTCAGCCTTTCCCCGTGCATTTTGGAGAGAAATGGGATGGGGGACACTACGGGGACTCTTTTAAGATGAAACTTTGCTACCAAACATGGTCTACATCTGCATTTAGACCTTAGCTTGCTACTGATTCATTTTAAACTCACTTACAAGCAAATCAGAATTGTTTCTACAAGGTCTTTATACATATTGTTATGCAAAAGAAGGGAAGAAACAATTGCTGAAATAAAAATCTGAGGACGTATTTATGAAACTGCATGTCTCAGAAAATGTAAAATCCTATTCCTTTTCATTACACTGCTGAGACTCATTATTTGACTGTTCTCTCTGATAAATTAATCTATGATGTACTGAGAAATGTTACAACAATCATTTAGTACCAGAATAAAAGAAAATATCCATTCCTTACACTAACTGTACTAAAAATAGCACAGGTATCTCAGTTACTACATCATCCTTCAGCTTTAATAGAAATATTTACTACCATTAACATATGCTAATCTTTTCTAATATCACATTTTTATTCTTTCCTAGTCCATAGATTGTGTTTAAGACAAATACATAAAACCAGTACTAAAATAAAAACCAAACGGAATGTCTCACACTCAACTGAAAAACAAGCACAAAATTGAAGGATGTGTGTTGGAAATAATTTATTGCCTATAAAATGTTTAAAAAAAATATGTTTGAAGTTCACATTTTCTGTGTGGTTTTAAAGGTGGTGTCACTTTTCAGAGGTAGTGTGTGTAAAATGTAATACAGAATTTGAAAGTAATTATTCACTTAGTTCAGTAATACAGTAAAATGCTCCCCAGAACCAAAGCACTGACCTGAAACCATTTTCCTTACAGGGACATTCTTAAGCATCTCTTACCAAAGAGAATTGCTCATTTGTTTAATAAGAACCACCACCACAAGCCCAAGTTTCTGTCCCATGTGTCTGTCCTCTTCTGACCAAAATGTCAGCTGCCACCTTTCAGAGACAAATAAATACTCTTTAGTCAGAATAAAATCCTATTCTGCCATGGAAAAAAAAAACCATTTTTTTGTACCGCTTAGTCATTTTTTTTTTTTGCTCATAAGCTTTAAGTTTTCACATTTGGCCAGGGTACTAAAATATTAATGGGGTAGAGAAACCAAACACCATAAATCAGCTCCTGATTTTTCTAATAACCAGCTGGAGTTTCCTCACTAACCGTCCTCTACCTTTCATCAGGCTTCTCACAACTGAGCAACTTACTCAACCTTACGATGATTTGGGGCAGAAAAGGTAGAATCTGGAAACACAAGTTGCGGGTTAGACAGCTGCCAGTCCTTCCAACGCCAAACGCAGCCTCAAAGCTCACCCACTGGCCTGAAGGGTCTGGGCGGCGGGACCAGAGGTAGTAAATCAAGCTTTTGGTTGTAACATTACAAGTTACAAATTCTTCATGTTCTGATATTCTGTGCTATTTCTGTTTATGTGTATTATTCTCTTTCCTTATGCTATCAGTATCCTGAGACCAACAGCCAGCTAGGACTAGAGTACCCAGGGAAAAGGTAGTGCTGTGCATTAGTTTCTTTTTAATGTAACTACTACTGTAGTGCAACACAGACCCCAGATGGGGCAGCTGATCCATTTTAAGCAGTAACTCTCATTTTCACAATAAGGATGTTGATGATAGTGTTGATTTCTCCTATCATTTCAACTGTATAACCACAACAGTAGATACAGCTGTCTCCGTTTGGTGAATGGAGTTGATAAGCCATTTCCCAATTTAAGAGATGAAGATATAACCAGTACATTCCTTTTTTCCCCTCAGAGGACTGCGAAGCCTACGATCTGCTTGTCATTTTCAGACTTTTTATTGCCTTAGCGAAAAAGAAATACTTGGAAAGATTAAAGTGCAGTGCTGCTTCAAGAACCAAGCACTCAAGAAAATTGACACTTGTATGGTATATCTGCCTGTGTACTTTTAAATCTGCCAAAAAATCACCTATTAGAATATTTACTACTACTCACTCCTGTTAGACCTAGACAGAAGCACCATCTGCAGGGAAGTGAAAAGAGGCATCACTTCAGGAAACAGGTTTCTTAACTACAAGCAAGCCTGCTAGCATCAAAGGCTTCCACTGCTCCCCCAGGAGAGCGAGCATCCTGTCTCTGTTTAAAGTGTCTGTTCTGAACCACCTTTCCCCACTTTGGTTTCTTCAGAAAGATGCACTGCATCACTCCTGTTCCGACAGATACGGTAGGGATAAACAATGCCGGGAAGTCATCTTTCACAGACAAAGCAAATGAGAGCCTTCACAGAAAGACGATAAAAATCCCCACACGTGGCACTTGTGCTGTAGCAGTTATTCAAATTACAGACTGAAATGAGCAAAAAAGCAAAGGGGGCTTATTTCTGTCAGTGTAACAGAACACAACGTTAGCTTCATCTGTCATGAAAAGTATGCAAATGATGAACTAGCACTTAATGTGGGCTTTCGTTATCTTCCTGTGAATGGAGGAAATAACCATAAACCAAAGCCTAACATGCCCAGAGAGCCATCCCCTTCATTTCCCATCATCTGAAGAGCTTTCAGAATTTCATCTGGAAATGAGAGTCCCAGTGGCTGTGGCTCAGAATGCGACACCTGTCAGGAAGACGCTTCTCAGTACAACCACTGGGATGAAGCTGGAAAGGAATGTGCCCGATTCTGTCACACTGTTCTAAGGTCCAGCTGAACAAGTTACACAGACCGAGATGCAATTTGCAAACTTGATTCGTACATTAGGTGCCTGTTAGGGACACAAGCAAACAAAAAAACCCCTAAATGATAAAACATGGGTGCAGTGCTAGTCTGAAGTGCCACACTCGGATATGCATTTCCATAACTCTCAAGGATGGTTAAAGTGTTATGTTACAGGACCTCAAAAGCTGCTCTTCAGCCACTGTAGCAGAACTATTGTTGCTGCAATGATTTAAAATACCCACCATGGCAATATAGCATTAAGAATTTTGTTTTACATATGACAGAAAAGAAACACTGATATTGAAAAAAACCCCAAACAGCTGTACAGTACTATCCTATATAACATTTTGTCCCACGGGAATATAATTTACACTCCCTCTTCCTCAATATCCTGTAATACTGTCAAGTGTTCCAGGGTATGAAAACATGACCACTTTTGTCTTGTCACCCTACAGAAGTAAAGGACCAAAGACCAACACGCCCACAGGGACGAGGTGGGTGTTACTGCAGCCACACACCCTAAAGAGGATTTCAGCTTCCTTGAGAAAAAAGGACTTAAATAATTGCTTGAATCTGGTAGTATTTCATTCAAAATGAATACCTTGTTTGGCATATGAAATAAAAGCAAGACATAGCAAAATGTGAACCATCAATGAAAGTTTTTCTCATATAAAAGTGGATGACTTAACTGACCATGAAACCAAGAACTCCCATTAAGAGTATCCTGCTTTTTGTCATGGGAATTTAAGTCAAAGCAGCAGGAAAATACAGTTCAAACAGTGTCAAATCACAGTACTATTTCTTTTTCTATTTCAGCAAAGCTCAGAGAAAACAAGAGGTTTCATTGTCAGTGGCACAAATTTCCTATCTAGAGAGAACAGTAACAGAAAGCATTGTTAACCCAGTATAGAAAACCCTTTATAAATGACTTTTTCAGAGAGAGCAGAATTACAGTTGAGCCCTATCTTACATTTGAAGGATAGTTCTGTGATCTTTGCTCACAAACCTGAATTAGTTTTTGATTAGTGGTCACTTCAACAGGCATGTAAAATACCGTTCCTAAAAAAGCCTCCTCTGAGGAAGGCTGTAAGGAGGTGTCTGCCAGCCGGGATGAACAGTCCAGCTCAGCAGTGACAGGATGAATAACCAACCCCTCACCTCCCCCTTACACAGCACCTTCCCTCTCTCCTTGGGTCCTGCTCTGAGTTTAACGCCTGAACTCAAATACAGGCCCAAGAGCTTGCTTTTGTGGGGTTACTCAGTAGAAGAGATGGTAAGAGGTCTTTTGGGAGCAAACTGAATTGCATGGCAGCCAGAACTGTGAAACTGAAAACTGCTACTATCCTTTATGCAGTAGGCATTTAAAAACATTGTTGAAAGTTCCCTGTGCCCAAGGACAACACAGAGTCAGAAAAAAACCTGAAAGAACAGAGCTCACTACTGACAATAATAAAAATAAAAAGTTATAGAAGTGAGGGAGGAACAGACCAGACTGAGAAAAACCTAAAATTGTGAGTTAATCCCAGTATTAAAGGGAAACCCCCCCCAAAAATACTGTGCTATTTCCCCAACACTGGATTTTCTGAGCTGCACCTTGGACCTCTAACTGAAATGAAGGGCTTACTGTACTGTATGAATAAGGATTCACCGGAGTAAATAATTATTTCGTATAAAATTGAAAGAGCAGGCTTTTTACCAAACTGTGAAGGTACCTGTTTCAAAAATACTTGCTGAGGAATACTCAGATTAGCAATTACAGAGCATCAGTACTATGGGCATGCACATACATGTCCTACTAGATTTATCTGAATGTGTCTGCACATCCATTTAACCAGATGAGTAAAGGGATTCAATGTGAACTGCCAGGAAAGAAGCCACTGCCTGTGATCAAGTTCACAGTTCAGAAATGACAACAGTAATGTGGCAGTTGCCAAAAACTTCATCAGATGGGACTCCTTAAAAACCAGGTCACGGTTAGAAGATCTGCAAAGCTCAATTCCAAACACTGGAATACCTTTCAGGATGCAACGACAGCTGTGGATTTATGACAGTACCTTGATAAAATGGATCAAAGTTTGTGGAAAAATATATAACCAATACTTAAAACAATCAAGAGACCTTTAGCATTCAGACTTTGTCAAAGAAAAACTGTAACTACATTCATAAAACCCTAAACAGCAGTGTAAACATCTAATCCCATTGCTACTGTGAGAATATCAGAAAGTTGCATTCTGCAGCTATCGGGTTTCCCATAGCCATCTAATTTGTTACAACACTTATGACTGCTTCTTTATATGAATAATTTATTGACAATAATTCAAATTTCTCAGCCTTTCAAAGCTTCTTCAGCTGTTTTGGTCAGAAAATGGAAGATTCAACAATCTGAAGTCACATAATGAAAAACACTTTAGTTTAATTTCAGATTTCAAAAGGGTTCAAGCAAAACTCATAACAAGCCCGTTACTCTATTTGGATTCCCAATTTTTAGTCCACCTACCTGAGTAAAAATGGGGAAAAAAATAATAAACAGGACTGGCGAGCAAGCAACTCTGCAGAATTAGCTGTCTGTGTAACATTCTTGTTCCATTCCTGGATCCTTGCTCAAAACGACTGCTACAGAGCAAGAGTTATTCTGGAAAGTCAGAAATTATCCTAATCAAAGCCAAACTGCTAAAAGTGAAACCACTCCTCACACAGTTCTTTCATTTACCAAAAACAACATTCGAAATTTCTTGACACTGCAAACTGTAGCCATGATGTACTACAGCCGTCCTTCGGGAAGGTCTGCTTCACCTTGGCCTTTCTTTTTTGGGCTGTAGAACACTGGACAGCAAAATGCTGTTCTCTTGAAACCTATATGTTACACAGGGCTTCTTTTTTGTCAATTAAAAAAAATAAATCACAAACTGTCTGAGGCATTTTTCTCTGATAAAGACGACAAGCTGAATGAGGTATCATCAGGCTCTGGGGATGCATGATTGAAATCCATTTCTTCTAGTTCAGGAGGTAAGTCTGAGAGCAGTGCCTGTAAGTAAAAACATATTACAACACAGCATTAAGTATATGTTTTATGTCAGTGTTCAAATGTCTTTTAAACATATAGTGAAAAAACTTTGTTAAGCTTTTTCAGTGTTGGTATTGGATGGGTAAAAAAAAAAAAAGTCATTATTGACAGATATTGAAAGGAAAAACATTGTCTGAGATGACATATCTTGAAGGCAAAAGGAAAAAAATAAAAGCAACAAAATCTCTTTCCTAAATAAAGCACAAATGTTACCCATACAAGACATGATCCAACCAAGCACTAAAAGAAGTGCTAAGTACTAAACGTGGCACCCCAAAACTGAAGAAGCCTGGCTTTTTTCCTACATCTCACAACAGACAAATCCCCGTCCCTCAGTGCACACTGGTTCTCCCTTTGCAAAAGTCACACTTCTTTGTCTGTGTCACTGCTGGTGCAGATTGCAAGATCCTTCTTTTGTTTAAAGTTCAACTTTTTTTGGTGTATAAGCTGTTCAGCACAACGCTGCCCTGATCATAATTTGAGCCTCTGGGCACTACAGGACAAAACCAAGGGAATGACAGACCACAAAATGACAAACACCTTCTATTATTAAAACCTACTTCAAGACTTACCTGCTGCTGTTCTTTATCATCTGATTTAATAGCTAGTATCAAACTCCGAGTAAACGTCTGTAGTTCAAAATACTTCTGTTTGTGATTCTCCAACTCATTCTCAATGAATCGGACTTCTTCATTCTGTGGAATCACAGAAAGTGATTCACAGAATCACAGAATTCACAGAAAGAAAGGAAATCACAGAAAGTTCTGAAATAATAAACAGCACTGCATCTTTTTAATAACAACTAAACATACTCATGTTAAACCCAAATAGCTTTAGTGAAAAAGAGTGAAAATGCATTTATTATGATTCCTGCCAAAACCAATATTAAATACAGCCAAAAGTTCCATGCTTATAGAATTACAGCACAATGCCTGGAGGCTTTGGATACAACTAGAAGTTTCTGATGAACGACCAGTCGTGTGTGTCACACTAAACCCACAGATGCATAAGCCACTGCATTTCTCACCAGCCTCCGCCAGAGAAGTGACAGCAAACCAGCTTACAAGGCATTTCAGTATTACCCACAGTCATTAAAGCATTAATGACTTGGGCCAAAGTCCACACGAACCTTTGAAAGAATGACTGCTTTTTATTTGGTAAGGATGACCTCTAATTCCATTTTAAAATAAAAAAAAAAAGCTGAGGTCTCTTCCTAGAAGTGATTTTGAACAGGTTGAGTGACTGTGAGAAGATACAGCAACTACATTCCATTACTACAACAGGAGGCTTGACACAAAGCCCAGGGAAAATACCTTGAAAATTCCTCAAATCTACCACAAACTAAAAATATAGCATCCTCTAGTGCAGCTGAGTTTGACACACATCATAAAGAGTCACCAATCTCCTCAAGATTTCTTGGGTTACAGAATAAATAGAAAGGTACTTACAAAATGGGGAAATAGCAATAATGTGCATGCTGTGGCTAAAAAGGCATTTTTCCAACCTTTGTATAAATAAATGTTACTGTACTTGAAATTACTTAAATAAAAATTACAAGCTTAATAATTCAGATTTGATAAGTACTTCTGTTTATTCCAAATATCTCCTCTCCTTCAAACTTACCAACTGATTGGTATGCAAGATCAAAATGCTAAATCTGTTGATCAGTGTAGAGCTAAAATTAATTTTCTCTGGTTATTTATCTTTGGAAAGATCACATAACCTAAATAAACAGTTCACTGCTGAAGATCAAAGTCATTGGGCATTTTTGCAAAAGGTATTTGCACAGTAGCACCAAATGGGCACCCTCCAGAAGATAATAATAAAAAAAATACGTACACAGAAATTGTGTACAACGCAATGCACAACACACATAGAAAGTAAGCATTTATAGAGGTTTGCAGATAATTCATGTTTAGTGTTGCATTTACGGAGGGATAACAGAGGCAAGAAAACACCCACCCTTGCTTATGCAACCATATGATTAATTAGGTTGGCAGATTTGCATACAAAATGTTCCTTGATGGCTGGTTTTGGTGGCAGCAAATATCAATAGTGAACTTATAAGCTGGTATTTTGTTTAAATGATGAAAATATATATTTTTTTTAAATAACATGGAACTATGCTCTGATATTCTCGCTTACTTTACTAGACTGGCTGTTACTCAACATTAGTTGATGCGAAAGAGTGAGACCACGTGATGAACTGGAAGGTTTGTAACAAGCCTTTAAAAATGGTTGTTGTTTTGGGTGGGTTTTTTTCCCCAGAAAATTCACATTTCTTCAGCCAAAACACTGCTCACCCTATTGTTTCAGGTTCTAACAGCTCTGAGAATGAGAGAGATTTGGGCTGCAACTATGAGGCTTTCATATGAAAATGAGCTGAATGTATTTCTTTCAGGTGGAAACTTAGATGTTGCCTATTGAGCAATGGATGTTGCCCAGCCAAAGAAGGAATTCAGATTTATGCAGAAAACACACAGGCACGAAGACTAATCACTGATGTCAAACAACAAACAAGGATCTGTAGGGCGCGCTGTCACAACAAGCCTTTCACCAGTGGTGACAGGTGACATTAAGAAAAGGTCATTCCCTCTCCATATTCATTCTCCACTGCCCTTACCAGGAAAACACTGCTTGAAGGAGTAACTTTTTCTGAAAAGATCATCTATTTATTATTTTGGTAATTATCATTAGTAGAACATACCTGTTTGCTAAGTAAAAAAAAAATAAATCAGCTACATGGATAAAACCATGGTGAATACAGAGCCCCCCACCATGGCAACTCTTTGGAGTAGAACATGTGGCAGAAGACAGCAGCTGTCTGGTATCCAACTGCTTTTCCTGCCTCCCACAACTGCTGCTTCCAGACATGTTCTGCCCTGCATTGCAAGAATGACTTCTTCTCAAATCCCTCCATTTTAGTAGAGGATTCCAACTGTTGTGTCCCTTTCCAGAGCTGGCAGCACCACGCTGCACGTCAAAGTGCACCCTAACACCCCAAAGAACAATTCTTGCACAAAGTTTTGGTTTAGAGGCAAAATACATTCATTGCTCTGCTTTGGAAACGTGGTGGGAGCTGCAGACGGACACAACTACAGTCATGTCACTGCTCCACAGACATGGGATTTTTCCTGCCTCCCCTGGGGTTAAGCTCCAGGTAATCTGGCTGTAAATGGGATGAGGAGACGTGACTGAGGGGATGAGGTGTGGTACCAGGGTAAGAGCAGAAGAGTCCCAGGCTGCCCCACGCCTTCGCTGCATTCCTTACAGATACACCCCTCTGAACGTTCTGTGAAGGACTATCCCGCTTAACATCTCATAGCCCAATTACTCACCTTGTAATCCAAAAGAGAACTCATTTGATCCACTTCAGAATTACTTATCATATCACTTTCTTCATCATCTATAATTTCTATTTTCTGAAACAGAAGCAGATGGTTCATTCCAAGCACTCAAACGCATAGATTAGGCAAACAACCAACAATCCGTATCTCAAACCACCATGAAAGGATGAAGGGAACAGGACCTTTTGCTTGCTCCTGAGAAATTGTGGAGCCCCCATTAGATGGCAATCATGCACCTCAGCCACAAAATCCAGGAAGAATCCAAACTGAAACTGGCGGTACTGAGAGCTGCTGCCATGGTGACAGGCTGTTTACAGAGAAGGAGCTATATGTCACCCTGCTTTTGGCATTAGGTTACATATGACATCTCATTTACAGCCTGCACAAGCCTGCCTTTTACTCTGGAAGCCCTTTGTTGAAGGCTTCCTGCAGGGCCAAGAAGGTTATGAAAGTTTATTCCTCTGGAGCAAAACAGACGTTATGGTAAGTGACAGGCAAGTCCTAACTGACCTACTTCTTGCCTAAAAAGCTGAAGAGGTCTCCTTGGGCCTTCTTTGGCCACAGTGCAAGTCAAATGCCCTAAATGGTAGAGGATGTTCACCCAAAGGACAGCTCCCAAATGCATACACATGGACATTTTCCCTTAATTCACAAAAATTCTTGGGAGCTTTTTATATTGGGTGTCTAAAGACATCTAAAGCACAATGTTAAAGGCCAATCTGAATGCTGTCTAGAACTCAGAAACACATTACAATCCTGCCTTCAGTTTTAAAAGGTTCACTTTTACATTATTTACCACTTTCACATTTTTTCTTCCCAACAGAAAACCTTCTTATGTAAGAAAATTATGTTAAGAGGTTATTTCCATAGGAGAAAACACAAAATTTACACATTTTTAGTGCACCTATGCGATTTTAATTTTTATTCATATCTAAGCTAGATCTCAAACAGATGGAAAGAACAGTGACAGCGATAAGAATGGCATCTTTTACCAAGAACTCAGAAGGATGACCGCCCAGATCAAACTACAGATTTCACGGTATTTCTGAGAGGGAAACAGTGGAAGTTTAAGAAGAGGGGTTTGGGGTTTTTTTCTTTTTTCTTATTTATTTATTTTTTCCTTTTTTTACTATTTTTCATTGTTTTGACACTTGTAAGCATTTATGAGACTGTATATAACAAGTCAAAGCAATTTTACTACGTTTTTTAGTATACTGTTAAATACAATGCAGGCAAGGGCCCCCACTGACACAATACACTTTAATGGTTAGTTCTTGAGGTATTATTTTAGAGGAGGTTTCTTCTCTGCAGCGTACGTGTGTCCTCTGTCTGCGTGCAGACCAGGCACCAGAAATTTCCTTCTGATCACCAGGAAGAAATCCTTACAGAGAGGCTGCCAGTCTCTCACTAGTAGCACCCACCCAGCTCACGAGTATGTGTTGAAGGTAGGGAGGGTAAACCACATTTTCTGTGCTTCAGTGTCTGGCAACCCAGCTGAAGTGATAACATTCCAAAGGCTTAATGTCACAAAGATCTGCTGCTGTAACATACCCTGAGTACACTGTGATTCAAATATTTTTGTTTTTAGACTCAGCTTGAGGAAAGAGTCTCTAAATAAATGTCAAACATTCACACTATCTTTCTTATAATTATACATTTTAAGACAGTAGGGGAAAGAACAGATTTGAATTTCAAATAAGAAAACCCTGTCTCTTATGCAAGTTCAATGTACGTTAGTCCAATTTTATCTGCATGTATTTTAAACATTTTGTTACAATGTTTTCAGCACAGAGTAGGAAAAAACCACTCTTCTTTTTTTCCCCCCCTCCTATTATATCAAATTATATAATGCTGGAGTTCAGGTAGACTGGAGAACTGAGCATCTCAGACATCATCTTTGCAAACCTTTTACCTTTGTCATTTTACATTCTGCATCTCCATGGTAAATGCATCAGCCTGAAAATCAGCGTGATTATACCTAAGGTCACAGCAGGCCATTAAGGTAAACAGAAGGAGAAAAGGCAGCTGTTTCTATTCAGGCAACCCCAGGAAGTACAGCCACGGGATTTCAGTTTAGGCAGAAGATGATCACGTATGAACCAAAGAAGGAAAACATTCTCTGCTGTCTCTACATATAGAGAGAAGAGAATCTCCTGTTCGCTCTCCCACTTCAGGTTTTGTGTGCTCAATCTAAGACAAATGTTCTCATCATGTTCTGAGCTGCTGTCATTTAATCTCTGACTGCAATAAGAATGCAACTGGGAACTGGAACCATCACCTGTTCATTCTGCAGATAACTTTTAAGATAAAAATTACCCTACCACTTGGGGTCTTCTCTCCTCTTCCTCCTCTCCTTTCTTCTAATTTGAGAGAAGGCAGGCTAAACAAAGGGGATATATTGTATTATTTGCCATGACTCCTCCCTCTGCCTTTCCTTCCTTGTCTCACTGCAGTCAATTAGAAACAGCAAGAACAACTGTCTTTGACTCAACGTGAATGCAAGTGAGAAAACAAGAAACATCTAAATAATGCCCTGTCAAGGGTATGGGAATGAAGAGTACATACCCACCCTGCTCTGAGCTCATATTCAAGGTTTGCTATAGAGAGGAAGCAACAGAGATACCTGACTTTCTTAAAGCTACAGAAAACCATTTTCAATTATTTTTGGTTTTGTTTTTTTTTTTCCCCACTCGTACTGTTTGGCTATAGTAGGTACTTATAGACAGCTAGCCAAGTGTTGTGCTTTGCACTCCAGAAAAAGAACACGGATTGTTACAATACAGAAAAATCTGTATAATTCAGTTTCTACTGAATGTGCATAGCTCTGTATTTTAGTACAGTTTCTCTTAGTGCTCAACCAATAAAGAACTCTTAGCACACTCAAGTTTTCACTTAGTCAAAAACACTACTGTTGGACAATAACCTCAACATTAGCAATTAAGGAGGTCAAGTTAGTGGAAAAGGAAAAGTACACATACCACATTATCAGTAGACACTGGATTCTGGTCATCATCTTTGTGACCAATTTCTTCATTTTGAAGAGCTTCATTTGCCTCTTCTGCAGAAATAAATTAGCTTTTCAGATTTCATTTAAATTTTACACTGAAGACATATTAAGAGTCTTTAACACTAAATATGTCACAACTGCTAGTTACAAAAGCAAATTCGTATAATCAATGTCTATTCATAAAAAATACTGTATGTCTTATTAAAAAAGACATCATACCACAAGTATTTCAGGTCAGTCACAGCAATTGCTACTTAAAACAACAGAAAAACTATCAGTTACTCTCTTGCAACAAACCAAAACCTTCCTATTTTTAGGTTCAGATGGGAATATTCAAAGGTGATGAAAAGTTTCACCTCAGAGGTGCCCAGAAGTTTTTTATATATATTAAAATATGAAAAATTGTGCATTCCCTGGAATTATAAGGAACATATCAGGATCCCACCTCCTCCTTGCAGGCACTGACTAGTTTTGAACCAAAAACTGATCAAGCTGATTATTTCATTCTTATACAGCAAATGTTTATTCCTAGTGAATCTAAGCTGCTCTCTTATGTATATGCAAAGTACGCACTTGAAAACAGAGCAAATCTTGAACCTTAGATTTCAACCACAAGCATTAGATGATTCTATCAGCCCTGACTATGGCCAATGTGAAAAACCAAGATAAGCATATTCATCCCTATGATTAAATATGTTTCTCATAATTACTTTAATTGTCCACATTTAATATACTATCAAGAAGAAAATGGTTGACAGAAACAGCAAATCAGAAAATAAACCAAAACACAGAGGCAAGACAGCTATGATAAGAAACTTAAATGTTGTGATTAATTGGAAATACACTCCTTCCAAGTGCTAGAAAAATTACACAGTTGTGCTGAGGGCAGAGCTTGCACTAAAAGGGTCAAAACAGCCCAGCTATTGCACCTAAAGAGGAGAGGAGGCTGGGGAGAGAATGGGCAGCAGATGTTCATGTGGGACACTGAAAGGGAGGGCAGGTAGTGATGCAGGGGTGTATCACTTCCACACAAATACGGGGTAACGGGATTTAACTGGAGATTACCAACAGCTGCAAAGAGAGGATAGTATTTAGGCCAGACCATACAGAGATACTTTTTTTTTTTTTTTAAATAACTTTTCTACCAGTAAAATATCTCTAAACTGAGCAAATTTTATTTGAAGTTGTTTCAAATAAATTTAATCTGCCACAGGTCACAACTTCAGAGGAAAACTCCTGCTACCAACAAAAGCAAATGGGTCCAAATGGGAAAACCATAAAGCAGGGAGTGATACACAACCCCATCGTTAGAGCAACACAGGTCATCGAAGATGCACCTCAGGGACTCTGAAGCAGTCTAAGGCACCAGTCACTCACTAACCTTGGCGGTCACCACTTGGATCCAACAGCGAAACAAAGCAACTCCTACAGCACTTTCAACTCTTTAAATATTCATCCTCAGCTAATATAAACTGGCAATGCTATAACGGTCTCCACAGAGCTGTGTTCATTTACACTAAGCATGGATTCAATTAACATTCATTTAAAAAAGGTAAGGCATTATGAAAACTTTAATGCTTAATTTTGCATCAGAGTATAGCTTTCATTTTTTGTAAATATTTACACACTACATTTTAAAAGCAAGTGCCATCAACACTTTCATTCTAATTAGGTGGCTAAAGATACCTTTTTCCTCTCTTTGAGAGTAGTTTTTTTGTGTGTGTGTTCTTACAAATTAGGACTAAAAGTTACAATTTCCAAACATTAAAACAATCGCATATCTGTGACTGAATGGTACACAGGATTATCAGTGAAAATATTTTCTAGGAAGTTCAAAATAAGCTGAGCTGCAGCAGTGAAACCTTTAAACTGGAGAAATGACTAGAAATAATTCTCACAGTAGAATCAAGGAATGGAAGTGGGATTCCTGGAGGCTGTGGAAATCCTACAGTTTTCTTGCACTTCCTTAAGCTTTGACTCTAATAATCTACTCATAGTCTTACAGCCTTATCTGGTTTATGAAAGCCTCATTTAATAAATGTGGTGCTATTCCTCACTTTAGGCTACAGAGAATTCAGACTCTTCCCCGTCACCATTTTCTTTCAAACAGATCTGACTAAATCAGTTTCTTCCACACCTCAGGCAAATCAAGGGTTCTTAGATTCTGTGTCTCACTTGGCTTTCAATCACTTGACCCACTTCTTTATCATCTTATTCTCTTTACAGTAGAATATTACAAAGCTGTCACAAATTCATTCCCAGCAGTTCTCCATTTTTCCAGTTCTTTCCCTTAAATCATTCAGACAAAATGACAAGATCAAATCTGGCATATCAAGCTGCAACAGCATGCACTAGATCAGACTTTCTTTTAGTTTAGAGAGCAAAGGCTTTATTGATCTCTTCTAATCAGAAGCACTGGGAGCAATTAGTTGAGCTTGTGAAGGCAGTGACTGTGCCGAGCGGCAGTTCATCTGCCCTGGGCCCGGAGTGCTAATGTACAAGAGGGAAAGGCAGAGATCAATTTAACGTGGTCATGTGGCTCTGAGAGGTGGAGTAAAAGGGAATTAAGATTGAGGCACTGATCACTCAAGATCATGCAATTTCCTGAGAACACCCAGGCACCCCATGTGTGCAGTTCTAAGGCTTTGAGTAGTCCCCTGCTACTGACTTTGATCTTTTCTGTTGGTTTGTATTCGCTTGTCAGAGACAGACACGCAGCGCAGACAGCTTCACGGCAGCCATTCTGCTGTACTCTGACATACCATGAAGCTCTTTCAGTTCCAGACCATGTCTGAGCTCATACACCTTCTGAACATCTCTCATCAGCATGAGTTTAGCATCAGGAAAACTGTAACTACATAGCTCTGGTCAGCGCAAGGCAGGCGGGTTGCGATGAGAACTGTTGGTGTGGTCCAGGCTAACAGCAATGGGTGCTCCAGCTGGCTGCATAGAACTGGCCATTTAACAGAGAGCACATTAAAACTTGGCTTCCAGGGAAGTGAGACTCACACTGTCTGTCCATCTCTCAGTTGCACCAGCAAACTGTGAACCTGTCATTTAACCTTGGGTGAATTTGGCAGAAACAGCGGTCTTACGATAAAAGGTTTCTGCAAGCCTTGTGATAATAAAACCAAAAAAATCCATATAGAGAGAAGTAGAAGAAAGAGACCAAACAGTACCTTCAGTATGGCCAATGTAAATAATTTGTGACTGTTAGACACACTTTCAGACGTTTTTGAATGTGTACAACAGAGAATCCAAAGCATGCACACTGCACAAAATTAGAAATATATGCACAGTAATAACTGCATTTTCAAATACCTTGTGAGCTTCCTTCAGATAAGCAGATTGATACTTCATCATTCCTATCATTATCATCCCCCACTTCAGTAGCAGTTTCCTCTCCTGGATTAAGTGCTGATTTAGAAACAAATTCAGATTGATCAGAGAAATCAGCAGGACCTCCTCTAGGGGGTGGGACCTCAATCCCCATTAAACGATATTTCCGTCTTCGATTCCCAATCCAAGTCTTGTAAGAGAAATAAACATGAATGATATCAGAAACTATAACAAAAGCAACAGGCCCACAACCAAGTGAAATTAGCACATCTATGCTACAGGAACAAAAGTGTAGCAAGCAACTCAAGGGAGGTGATTGTTCCCCTGGTTTTGATCCTCATGAGACTGCTTCCTGGAATACTGTGTCCAGGCTCAGTCCTCCAATACAAGGGAAAAGGGAAGGTGCACAGCAAAAGGAAAAGAAGCAACAGTCACAAGTTGCAGCAAGCGAAGCTCTGACTGGAATTAAGAAAAAAGAAAAAATAATGCTTTACAGAGAGGCACCAGAACAGTTTGTCCACAGAAGTCTTGTCATCTCCAGTCTTAGAGGTACTCAGCATTTTACCAGACAACATCTTGAGAAACCTGACCTAACTCTGAAGTCAATCCTGCTCTAAATAAAGAGTAGGACTAGGTGACCTTGTAAGGTCTACCCCCACCCAAATTATTCAACAAATTTATCATAAGATTTTTGATACAGGTTCTCCCCCTCTGCAACTTCAACATGGGGACTAAAGCATCCAATGACCCAAACAGCCTGCCTGTTCTAGGACTTTTTATAGCATGGGAGAAATTGTCCGAGGTGGTAGCTCTACATCACTACACTTTAATGACAGAACGTAATTTGGCAGAATTAAGCTCAGAGCAACATTATCACAGAATCACAGAATGATATGGGGTTGGAAGTGACCTCTGGAGGTCATCTAGTCCAAACTACCCTTTAGTCCTCTTTGGTTGGAAGACAAGTCTTTAAGAACCATTGCTTGCAGTAAGGTATAACAGCATACTGTAAACCATGGTGAGAGATGAAACAAGTCCAGGACCAAGGAATTTGGAAAACCAATCATGATCAGATGGGTATGGATGCTTTAAGTTCATTTTACATCAATAAAACTGACAAGTCTCGAAAAGAAAAAAAAAAAAACCTTTTAAAATTCTCCAAGTGGATCTATATAACTGTTAATCAACTTGCTTTCTCTGATAAAGAAAAGTCTACACTAAAAATTATTAAAAACAAAATGTAGTTTAATGTGAAATAATAAGAATTGTCTGCAACTCTTCACCTCTTTACTCCTTCCCTTCCTTTGCATTACTCAGGCTTTTGACTTCTCATCCAATTCCGTTTCTACTTAACAGCTCTTGTACCCAGACACTGAATCCCGTGCAAGTAAGTTCTCCACTGGCATCCAAAATGCTTTCTCAGAGCTAGAAATCAGTTCTTCTGCCAACTCCTAAATTCCAGTCTTGTTGACCTGGCTCTCCCCTCGCCTTCCACACCATGTACAACACGGTAGGATTAGCGCTGACAGCACGAGTGGCACCATCCTCGTTTCAGGACCTGACCACACACTGGCCCAGGAAGGATAATGGTGGAGTTTGGCCACATAAGCTGTCACCACACAGAGGGGCCTTGATTACTGTGGTGACGACGTATGCACAGCATGGCCACTACTGCTTCCTGAAGCCTGCTCAGGGCTGGGATTTCTGGATTGCTAAAAGTCAAACACATCTCTAGAAAGCATGGGCAGTTCCTACTTTTGAAAACATGTGATCATGGTGTGGCAAAATGCACATTCCTTCCATAAGGTCCATGTTCCAACAGTGTTTACCACACACATTAAAATATTACAGGATTTTTTTCTTTAAAGATACAATAAACTACATTACTCGGGCTTTATTTCAGAAATATCTGCACTGGTCCTTTTCCCCATCACACTTTCTTTAACTACAGTTCTGACAGACAGCATGAAAAAGTTTAGTAAAAAATTTTTGTTTACAATACCTTGGTTATCAAACAGAAAAATTAAGAAACATTGACAACAGTCCCAACTATTAAAGATAGCTTCATGCTGTGCCAGCTGAGTCCTTTTAACCTGCTAAATGACGACATGCTTAACACTATTTTTGGCAAATCATTTTTGTTGGGTGATATTTTCTTTTCCAGCCTGCTGATTTTCCTCTTTAAAGAATGCAAACCAGAAAGCTACCTAGGTGTTTCTGTACTTTATATACAGTTTGGGGGGAGTGACGGGGGAAGAGAAAAAAAGTGGCCCCTTCCAGACCTATTTATATTTTTTCAAGTGCTGTATTACCATTCTTTACATTTTTCACAATCTTATGATGGTAATAGTGCTAACAGCTACAAAATTTACAAGCATATCTGCTGTTTTTTTCTAAAAAAATTAGCAAAAAATTGAGTCACTTGGGAAAAGCAGATCTTACTTGTCTTTTTACATACCCTTCAAAGCAGAAAATCTTTCATTCAACATACTGAATATGTCACAGAAGATATTTTAATAGTGTCTCAAATTAAAATGGGAAATAAAAGTAATAAACTTCCATATCCCGCATGCTGCATTTAACAGTGAATATTCTGGAGCTGTAAAATGATGAGTGTAAAAGCAGACTAGCATTTCTATGTAGGAAACCATATAATAATTCTAACTATATCCCTAAAATATTGCCTCCTTAAAAACCTCAGACAACATCTGTAAAGTGCATGTGATGAGACTCATTAAGCCTACTTATGGCAGCCAGCAATGAACTCGGCAGCAGCTCCCCAGCTTCCACTGCACAGATGACCAGCAGGAGTTAGGGAAGAGAAGCTGGAGGCCAGGCAGAAGGAGCCAGCATACATCTGCCCTCGGGCAGCTCCTAAGTGGATTGGCAGGGAGCCACTTGAAAAGCATGATTACAGCTCTCCAGATATTGAGGTTAGGGTGTCAACGCACTAGAAAGATTCTATCTTGGAACCTTCAGAAATCCCACTTAAAAAATAAAGACGGAAAAATCTGAGTTGTTTTTCCAACATCTCCCTGGATCGTAAGCCAGATGTAGGTTAGGCTTAGAGCCCCCAACAAGAAGAGCTGTTCATCAGCTGTGAAGAATGAGTGGTCTTTCTGCTGCAACTGCTTGATTTTGTTGTTAAACTCAAGACTGAAGCACTACCTTCCGTAATCCAGCTTTAATCTGATGAGCTGCTGAGAAACAGGAGGAGGTGTCTTTAACCTGTGGGTGGGGGCCTAGGAGTAGCTTTTGACTTTTTTATGAATGAAAACTTTATGTCCTATAAAAAAAATTGTCATGTATTTTCTTATATTTCTCATATATTTCTGAGGAGTTTGAAAGCCATCATCCATCTTTCTCAAATATCTAGTGTCTCACTGCCAAGGCAGCTATTCTGCTTTCAGATGCTATTTTGGTATGGATGAATAAAATTCGTCAAGAAAAATATAAACAAAAATATGTAAGTTATTACAATCCCCCTTCCCCCATCCAACAAGTGCAATCAGCAATAATTATAATGTAAGCAAAAGAAATATTTTAAGTTTAATGAAGTATTGACCAGAGTTCATATATTTAAAGATGACATAACAGGGCTTTTTTTGATGTCTTGGGAACATGTGAAAGACATTTAAGGGTGCAAAAGTGCCTGATGTTAAGGTACAACCAGCAGTCGTTTACAAGTTCACCCTCCTCCTAGAAGTACAAAAACTACAGAATAATATGCCCTGTTCAACCTTAAAAGAGAAAATCCAGTGGAACTATGCATAGTGGCAAACATAATCTTTCCTCCTACTGGAAAGTTGATTTGGTACTTTCTTTGTACTGGAGATCTTCCAAGACCGTACAGGTCATAAGGATCAATCATTTGTACTTCTGGAATGGCAACATCTATCTGAATAAATCATGAACTTCCATTAAAAAAGCTACTAAAAAGGGAAAAATGGGGACATGTATTTAATCGTATTAAAACAAGTGATATGATAGGTATACATAAATATTTTTCAGTTATATATATTTATATGAAATTATATTTTTATAATATAGTTTATATATTTGTTGTATTATTTGATATATATGTATTTCATTGCCTTTTTATATATACTTATTACTATTTTACATATGCTACGTGTCTTTCATTGATATATAAATAGTTTACAGATATATATTTATATGAAATTATGTTTTTATAATAATAGTTTATATATTTGTTGTATTATTTGATGTATATGTATTTCATTGCCTTTTTATATATACTTATTACTATTTTACATATGCTACGTGTCTTTCATTTACATCATAACTAGAGAAAGAGTTGCTAGTTGCACACTGCCTAGAATACAAGGTACAGTGAAACACAAAGGCAGCAAAGTACTGAAAGGGGACAGCTTTTTCCAGAAACATCCCTCAGTCCAACTCCTGTTGGCTGAGCACACCGTGTAGGGCAGAGATGCTGTGGTTCACCCACGCTCTGCAGCCCACTGCATCGTTGCTGTGCCCTGGCTCCTGAGCAGGAGACCATGCTGCACACTGACCTCCAGGCTGCGGGGCTTCCTGCTGAAGAACAGGCAGGCTGGCAGGTAAGGAGAGAGGCACAATATGACGTGCCTATATAGATCCCAAAACAAACTTAGGACAGACCCTCTAGAGCACATGATGGAAAATACCTGTCCTACAGCTGGGACACACATAGTGTGCCTTAGAGAAAGGGCAACAGTAATCACTGAAGAACAACACAGGTCTTGTAGCATTAATTCAGCCCTCACAAACAAACAAAAAAATTCCGCATGGTGCAGGACCAACCTCCACCCAATTCTTGCTACAGGTCTTAGGTCTGCCAATAGAGGAACCAGAGGCAGAGGTAAGACAGATACTGGTAACACCACCAGTTACTATGAATAAAAGAAATCTTTTTGTTCATTCACACGTGCGTGTTCTAAAATAGGTTATGCCAGGGAGCCTTAGGGAGTTGATCAGAGCCTAGTACATCTGCCCTGAAGACAAAAGCATTTCCAGCAGATGCTATTGAAAGACATCTACAGAACTTCATACTGTCACCCTACACGTGCCAAGAAGGATGTTCTTAAGGGAACGAAGCAAGGGAGACAAAGCACGAGGTGCCAGGCTTACTGTCCTGTGAATAAGGGATTTCACATGTAGGACTCCATTTCGAGACGCTGTCAGTGGGAACAGCTTCACCTTTCAGAAAGCAAACTGAAGAGCTGCAAAATACAGGGCAGCTTTATTCTCTACAGAGAAAAATAATTCTTTTCAGCCTCCAAAAGCACAATTTATTTTTTATAATTCACATGTGCTCAGGAAAACAAGCAAATAACCAAATTAGTGTTCTATACTGAAAAGTAGCTTTGGTACCATTTTGATATACCAACCCAAGAGAGATCTTCATGAAAGAAGAGTTTTAAATAAGGGCTCCTAGTTCCACTGTTGCAGCAATATTAGAATTGTAAGGAAGAGGTGGAAAAAAAGGACGAAGGCTGAAAGGACTAGTTACAATTGTCATGCCTGTTATGAGGGGAAGAAAGACTCTAATCATGTTTTTGTACTGACTGCAAAGACAGTCTATTTTTTGAAGAATGGAAAGCGTCTGAGTGAATGAGACACCCACAGTTTCAGAGTGATGAGGTAGGTCTGGTAATTGGGAAGACAGTGGCAACAACTAATGCTGTGCCAAACTTCCCAGACTCTGGAATAGATGATGGGGAGTGGTTCTCAGGAATCAGGTTATCCACACCAAACCTGCACTTTCTAAAGCAATCCTTCCTCAGCGACACCTGTAGGGGCTATCAAATTGAAGTGACCCAGAATTCTTCACAGTACCCTTCATCCTCTGTGACCTCTCAACTTGGCTTCAGGACAGTCTCGTAAAATATTTTTTTCCTATTTTTGAGCATTTTCTTTCATATGTTTACAATTATTTTTTTCCTATAAGCATTAATGAGAAACATTTTCTCCTATATCTTTAGAAAGGCTTTTTTGTTTCTTAATAGCAATATAAATAGTGCTTTTCAGTCTTCTAGGATATCCCTAAAAAATGTAACACTTTTATTTAAAATCTTACTCAAGTCTAAAGAGAATGTCAAACGGCTCATAGTGCTACTCCTGCTGCTGATCAATAAGACTCTTACCTGAGGGCATTTTTTCTATATATAGATTGTAGAAAGAACAAGTGAGCACTTCCCAACATGGTCATTCATTATGTAATACGTGAAATCTATTTCAAGCTTCCTCATGAAATTTTTAAAGGCTTTCATCTGTCCTATTTTTGCTTCTGCGACAAGTCAGGGGAAGACTCTAGATTTCTTACCCGCACTATTTCACAGTCAACATTTAATTCTGCAGCCACAGCTTCAATTTTCTCTCTGCAGACTGAGCCCAGGCTGGTCATACCATTGTCCCAGTATTTCTTTAGGGTAGCTAAATCTCGGTCACTAAATTGTGTGCGGTCCTGTAACTGTAAGATAAAAAAAATACTGTTAGATGAAAAAAAATTCTGCTTATGCTGTTCATTTAATTTCCAGAGGTCTTGCATACAGTAAGACACACATGTTATACTGTCTCCATGGCTTCTCTTCTCTTTTAACTCTCCCTTAAGATTTTTTTTTTTTTTTAATCCAGGACAGTACAGAGTTCCCTGGGATTTTCTTTAAAGGCAATGGCAGCGCTAAAGCAAGTTTAAAAGCACTTCAGCTTTGTTTCAGCTCCACCTGATTTTTTTAATTTGTTTTATCTCATTCTGTAAGGCCTTACTGAAAATAACTGTTTTCCTCTTGTGCTGTTTACTCTCTCCACCCAATTTATGCAAATTATTCCTTAAGGCTTTTCAAGTTTCTCACCCTCCCCCACCCAAAGTTCTTTTATCTTACTGCAAACTACAATACATGCATAATTCAAAGGATTCCGAGTTCCTAAAGGGAATACTTTAATGTTTATTTGGTAAGCTTCAGAGTTTAAATTGGTTCCACTGTTTATTTGTGAGTTCCCTAACTCTTTGTGTATATTTATCAAAATATGTGATAGTGGATTACTGATACAAGGAGTATCACTGGGAAACAAATCCCAGACATCCTACCACTTCTTGAACTGTTGTGGGCACACAGTATCATTCACTAGTCAAACTTAAAAGCTTTATCAAAAGTTTCTAGCCCATAATTTTAACTAAAATCTACAGTTTCTTTATACCAACCCATGCTGGCCATTTCTCCTGCCATTAGGAGTACATAAACGCAACAATAAAATCTGCACTAGTAAATTGTAGCCCCATGTGCCAAATTTGTCATTATTTCAACAGCTGAATTTTTAAGACAGAATCATGATTTCAATATCTGAAATCTGGTTTGCTTGTTTAAAAACTGCTAAAAGTCAGAATTAAATAAATTTAAAATGGGGTAGAAAAATTTCACAGAACTAGAATAATTTGACAATTGTACAGTTATCAACTTTAATTTTTGCTAAACTTCAGAATATGGTAATCCTTGTGGTTTTCTTCTTTTAAAAGCTACTATTTCTCAAAATGTTAGAAGCACTTGAGTCTCCTTAATACATAAATATAAAATAGCAGTATCAAAACCTTGTCTCCTTAAAATAATCCCAGGTGGCCCAGTAAAAAAACCCCACAGTAGTTATAGCCAAATGTGGTCCATTACTAATCGCTACCAGACACTCAGGTACTTTCTTGGCTATTGTTTCATACATTCAAGTACAGAATTAGAGAAGCTGTTTTCATCCTGCCCATCAATTAGCAAGGATTGCAGGACCCCAGGAGCCCCTCTGCAGCTGGAGGCAGGTGGTGGGCTCACCACACTCCTCAGCTCCTGCAGCCCAGGAGACACACTCCCAGACCGCACGCTGCAGTCTATTTTAATCTAAAAGGAATCCAGTTGGCACATTTTGAGGCTGCTCTAGGATAAGCAGCAAAGTGCAGTAAGTGGCCTTCACCTCCCGAGCACCCTGCTGACCAAAGCTAAATCCCTGCTGCCCATTCACCCGTAGCAGATGCAGGCTTTCCTGCACGCCTGACCTCAGCTCCTCCTACCTACAAGCCATTTTCAAAGAACAAAAGTGTAGTTATCTCCCGAATCACTGCAGCCCTGTCTCCTTTTATAGCTGTTGGAAAAATGGACTGTAACTTCTGAAAGTGATGGGAAGAGCTCTTTCTAGTTCTGCAGTCGGGGAGGCAGCCAAGCACTGAAGAGAGGGAAGGCAGAAAGAGTGTGGCAGCAACACTCAGACTACAGGGAGAAACAAGCCACTCTGGCCTATCCTGCTTTCCTGAACGCACGGGTAGCCCAGGGCAACTTCTCCTACTAAAATATACTGAATGTTTTTAAACACAAATAACTAAGTAATTCACTGTTGGTTCTGGAGAGTTCACGCTGACAACACTGCTGCGACAATCCACCACTCGCACAGCTTACTGCCATCTGCACGTACCAGGAAAATAAAATAGAAAGTTTCTTCATATATAATATGCATAGCTTAAAGATACCCCCTGGAACATGCTGTGGAAATTCCCTCTCTCCAGCAGAGGGGTGAAGTGAGGGAAGCAAAAGGCAATCTGCCTAATATTACTTCATCTGTAAGGGAGCAGCCCCTGTAAGTGTTCCCTTCTCTCACCTATAGTTTGTTGCAATGGCCAAATGAGAACAAAAACCAAAGAAAGCACAGCTGATGTTGGAGTAAGTTCAGATATTTTTTGCTTGCAACATGATTTTCCAGTTATCAAAGAAAATGCTCCTTCTGCTGAAAGAATACAGGGCAAGAAAAATGGATCCCACATTAGACAAAAGACACACAATAACTGACTATAGAGTTACCAAAGGGATGGTACTGCAGGAAGGGTGCAGAGGCTGCTCAGCTTTTACTTACTGAATACGAAGATTTTTAAGTAGAGAAAGCAGTGTTCAACAAAACCATCTGGCTGTCAAAAATTTTACTTAACAAAGCAGTGTCGTATCTTTTCCATTTTAAGCGGACGTATGTTAATTCCTATGACCTACTACAAACGTTTTAATAAAATTCCTATAGGATAAAACACTATCCAATGGTTTTCACCTCACAGCTGCTATATAATTTTGCTACAAGACCACGGTTGGAGAGTTAGAATCCTGCTAACACCAACTGCAGGTCAGAGAAGGAAATGGACAACAAGTTTTTCCAGGCAACTGCTATGAAAGAAAAGACAAAAACCCCACAATACACACCACATGAAAGAGCCCAGAAAACAGGAACAAAATTGAGGGGAAAACAAGTGCATGTAAATAAGATGCTATGAAAACTCAGGTCCCCTGAGCAGCAAGTAAGGGGGCAGCCTTACTGGGATGCCTGGCTCAACCCACCCTAGTAAAGTCAGCGCGTTCTCATTCCACTTGAACTTCTCTACTTTGGAGTCTGTATCTCATTTATGCCAACATAAATTATTTTTTCCAACAAGATGAGCAGCGAGTAACCTACTAGACACAGCCAAGCAGGCAGGAATTGAGTCTCTGAAAAGCTAGAAGCAGTCTTCAGAAAGACACATTTTGGCACCATAGGTGACGAGTGCAATGCAGCTGGTTGGTCTCTGCAGTGATGAAAGACAGGATCTATCAGGTTACCAGTCTTGAAATTTTACCAGTGTCCCCCAGAGAAGATTCTCAACATTTAAGGGCTGTGATTTACAAGGGAGCTGCTCAGAGGGTAGCAGGTCATCATGTATTAAGTGACCCACAGGAGTGATCTGCCCGTGCACTATAAGTGTGAGCTCCTTCACGCCAGCTCGGAGAGGGCAAGGGGAGCCCGCTCGCCTTCTCCGCTCTCGCTGCACCTTTGCATCGGGATCGGTCCCAGCCCTTACACTGGGTGTAGGCAACACTTCAGCTTGTACAAAGTTTAGATCCAGACTAACTCACCTTTGTGTAACTGATGGTGCCATATGCCTTTTCATTACTTTCTTAGGGAAATCACAAACCACATCCAATCACAGGATCATCCCCTCGACAAAGATTATACATAATTTTGACTCCTGCATTATAAGCGGCTCAAAAATGATATAATGCTTTTACAAAAGTCAATTACCTCTGCGAGAAAATAAGAGGTAGAATTTCTACATCGAATCTACAGCTACACTTCCATCAATTTATTTAATAACTTCCTCGTGCTTAGTATCAGAGAAACTGAGGAATCAAGAGAAAAGCCCCAGAGCCTTACAAATATCATTATATTGCCGGTTATGCACCAGTTAGCACAGGAAAAAAGTATCAAAAGATAATACTGAAAAGCGTCATATTTAGCACAATACTTTCCGTAGCTGAAGACAAGCCAGTAATTCAGTTCATATTTTTACTTCATTATGACAACTGTTATGAATACAACTCTCATTTCCTCTCTTCAGATCCCTCGCTTGCTGATTTGAGGCTCGGCTTTATCCTCAGCAGTGTTAACTATTTGCTGAATGCTTTACATTTACCAGTTCTGTTGTCCACAGTCTGAAAAGCAGCGAGAAGCTTCTTCCAGCAGAAAATAGCCTATCAACTCCCAATGAAAAGCAATCCTTGTGAGCAAATTGAATCAGCAGTTCTGCCAAGCGCAGGGTTAAACCCTGCTTATCCCCTGACCTTTCAAGTGTAATAACAACATTCTTATAAGAGATGACCCAGTTTATTATAGACATTCCTGGCACTCTGCCGAGCCCCTCATACTACCCACTGTGCATGCAATATTTGTGGTGCAAATCTAGTGTCTATAATTGGTATGAATAATTGCATTGCAGTGGAGTGTCCTTATCCTGCCTTTTATTAGAGCCTGCTTTTTTAGATCAGTTTTTATGCATCAGTTGAAAATGTTTCAGGCCACATGCACAAGAGCTATAAACAATCTTCAGATTATTAATAAAAGACATTTAAAAATGAAAGAACTGGAGCTTTAATATAAATATAATAACTATTGCATTTATGCAGCACCTGAGCACTGTATGTTAACAAAAGTTACACAGTTATGTTTATTTAAATTGCCATGAAATCATATTAAATCAACAGTCCAGTTCTGATACTCTGTGATGAAACACTCTAAGGTAATGGTTATTTATAGCAAACAAACCTCTCACAACAAATTTTAGTCACTACTGCTCAGAAACTCTGTAATGGAGAAACAGCAAGAAATCTCACAGAGTGATACTTATTTTGTATGTTTTAAAGGTTCTTTAAAGTTTAGTAAAAAGTAGAATAGGACAAACAGTGATACTTAGCTCCAATACTCTCTAGCAACCCCAGTATCTTATAAATTGGAGGCATTTCTTACTTTAAGTTAGGCTCAAAAGGAGATTGGATGTTTTTATTTAGCGTATCTAAGGCTAGTTTCATTAGACACCCACTCTTATACTGGAACAAATGAGTGCCTATTTGCTTCGCCACACTTTTCATATTTTTAAAGCTCTCCACCACAGTCCTCCACTCCCTCCCAGAGATATAGCCCATT